AAGTGGCTTCTCAAAGCACTTTACAGAATGACAAGAAAAAAAAATACACAAGATATGCACAATGAGTATACAAAGTTAGAAGAGACAGTAGATGGTGGTACTAAATACAGTAGGAACAAAGGGGTAAAGAACAGAACCAGTTTAAGTAAAGCCTCTTCTAAAGAAGTTTTGAGTCTTGATTTGGAGGAGTTTAAAGAAGGTGGCTCTCTGATATCCTTGGGGATAGAAGGGATTACAAAAACCATTCAGAAAAATGACAAGGACAAATATTTGAACAACTGTTTCTCATAAACAACTGAAAGACGTTTAGCAGAATGGCGAATATCACCCCAAAGAAACAGAATTAAAGGACAATTTGGGTTAAGTGCATTACATTTATTGTTTGTCTTTGGTACAGTACATATTAGGTTTTGACTTGTTTGCTAAGCAAGAAATTTGAGTTTTCATGAAGTTTATTGTACAGACATTTTGGGACATGACACTCATTGATAAGTACTGTAAAGCAGTGCAAGTCGATTCCTTGCACAGGAGTTGTAAAAAAAAAATTTGTAGACCCCATCCAATCACAAACTAATGAATAGTACTGGAATTGAAACTGTTAGAAAAAAACTGTTAGGCAAAACTTTTTTTTTGCTTTAAAACCATTATTGAACTCAATGTATTTGTTCTAATATTATCCAATGGATACAGGAATTACCCTAAAATAAAATATATATTGCTCTTATCATTCAAATTAACCTCATGAACACAAATACAAATTGCTTGAATATAAGGCCAAAATCAAGCTGTCCCTATAGTATTTGAGGGCCCTGTATAAGAGGCTGTATACAGCTAAGCTGCCTCCATGTAAGACAGCACAAAACCCAAAACCTAAAATGTATCAATTTAACCATGAAGGAATCTTAATTCAGACAGGCAACACTTTGTTTTTATAGACAATTCTTTTTTTCTGTATTATAAGCAGAAAATATTGTGTGCTATTGAAGTTACTGGTGATGTGTTTTCCTTGCTTTGGAAGGTCATTCTTCCACAGCAATCCCAGGAGTACTGGCTTCAGAAAATTACCATCACTGCGAGAATATAGTTTTGTTGAGTGATGTTACTCCTCTTCTAGTTTTCATCTTCTTGGTGTTCAGGAATATCCTTTACATTCAACTTGAATAAAAAAAAATAGTTTCATTCACATGTTCGACAAGAGTATCTGTTGTACATCTGGACATGCTGAATCCTAACCTGTTTTAGCATGAACACTGCCAGACATTCTGAGACAGCACAAAAAGTGCAGAGGATTACAGAACTATTAAAGTTGATATGCAAACTGCACCACAAAATAAGTGTAACAGGTTGCATCACGTTTATATTTTAATATTTGGCAAACTGCCCAGAAAAGAATCAAACTGAAATAAAACATCATTTGAGAGATTGCTAGGCAAATTTCTAATGTTTATGCAAAATGATTAAATGAAAGCTACTGCAATAGATCTACAAAGTAAAAAATTACAGGAATCATTCAGAGATATCAGATGGTGTTTATGCCTTACAATCCATAGCACCAGATAGTGCTTAAAATATACACAGGGACTGAACAAGTAAGGTAGATCTGTCAATCATTTCAAAAGAACAAACATGACAGAATACAGAGAGAGGTACTCTGGGAGATGTTGTAGCTTACCTTGACATTTTCTTAGCACTGTCCAATAATTTCTTGACAGCTCTTATATACTTTGTCCAGACAACTCAAACGTGGTTTAGAGCTCTGAAAGAAAAGAAACTGATTTTTCCTTAACAAGTAAACCACAAACACTTGTCGCTTTGTGAAAGAGTAGAGGTGTAAGAACATAAGGAATGTTACACACGAGAGTAGGGCAATTTGGCACATCCATCTCATTCGGTAGCTAGAAATTCATTAACCCGAGGACCCCATCCTGCTGTTTATTGAAAGAAACAATATTTGCTCTGACATGTCCGGGTAACTTGTTCTATACCGCCAAAGGTATGAGAGAGTTAACAACTCAAATTCCCTTTAATTCAACTGGGGAAACAATTTCTCACTTCTACATCTGATCTGCTTCAGAAGTCCCACTGCTCAAGGGAATGGGTGCCATGTCTGTCTCTGGTGGGTGTTGCACTTCAATGATGGATGAAGTGCTGTTATATTTAAAGCAAGATCCTAAAGATCTCTGAGATTTGTGGGAAGGAAAAGTAGTATGTAAGTATGAGATTTTCAGCCCATAAATGAACTACGTACATTTCCCATACAGAAACCAGCTACCAGGTTTGAGGTGGCATGAACTAACTGGGAGATGAAAGACATGAAATGGCACCTTGAATATTTCTTGATTTATTCAAATGGACTACTGTCTATCCTACATTCCTTATTCCTTTTACCAAATTCATACCAGGCAAGACAATTGAGAACTAATTCTCATTTACATTAACACCTAGATGGAGAAGACTCATTAATATAGCAGGGCATTTTTACAAAACAGGGCAATTTGAGTGATTGGCTCAAGAGTATAACAGCAGCAGCATTCCAACAGGAATTTGAACCCACAACCCTCCAACTGTGTAACCAGAGCCCCAACTACTACACTCCACTGCTGCCTTGTGACAGCTACAGAAAATATGACCACATGAAGAAATCCTGGAGTCTAACTGAACTTCAAATTAGATGAGATTTTTGATTTACATACTGATTTAGAAAATATAGGATTGTCATAACTGCTAGTTAAATTTGTCTTAAACATCATACTTTTCAGATCTTACCTGAAAAAGAGGTACAACATCAGCCACTCCATTGGGATCTGATGGATCTTTTAACAGTATACAAAGGTAGTAAATCACCCGTTGCTGAAAAGTGGGAGACAAAGTGAAGCACAAATTTAAAAAATGTGGCCACAGACACAAAGAGACAGAAAATTCTGTTATCCGTAACAGTACAACTGTACTATTATAAACCAAAACGTTTTTTTGGTATAGTAGATAAAACTGACAGTCATGTGGGAGTGAAATTACAGGTACAAACAAGAGGAATCGGAGAATAGACACAGAACTTTTTTGTAAAAAAGTAATGAATTACCCACTGAGTAACACGTTACTGTCTAAAGAACCACTTTCTTCTGCTCCACTTACCATGTAAATGGCTTCATTAATGACAATGTCTTTGACCTTGCCCATCTCTATGAAGGTTGTGCTCTCTCTCCCTGATGCGTAAGAGGAAGACATCTGAATCCCCAGAGAGCCAATAATGAGAAGCGACTCGTGGTCTATTTTCACAAAGTGAAGGTGAAGCATCATCCCCAAAAGAGTAACAAATATGGCAGCTGACAATACAGTGGTATTCTGAAAGAAAACCAATTAAAATTAATAATAATAATTTCTGGACACGCCACTCAAAGCACTTTACAGGTAATGGGGACTCCCCTCCACCACCACCAATGTGCAGCATCCATCTGGATGATGCGACGGCAGCCATAGTGCGCCA